AAGAGCACCACCAAAAATTTTCGGTTACACAACATTTGTACTACATTCCAGCCAATAGTATTTTACGTATTTAATCACGATATTCTATCCAATAGCTCATCACATTTAGATCACTTTACTTATCACTGATATTTATAATAAAGTATCGTTAAAACAAAAAAAAAATTTTTTAAATAACAATGACCTCTAATAGCTTGTATAAGTGTGATCGATGTAGTAAATATTTAGAAAAAACTGCTTTCGTTAGTAAAACTGGAAAACCTACAAAAGTATGTAATCAATGCCGAAATAACAATTTAAAAAATTACTACGCCACCAAGTTTAACGAAAATCTGCCTTGTGATCAAAATCCTATCGAACCTAAGGAAATGAAAAAAAAATTATTTGAATGTGTTCTTCAAGTTGGAGATGATGAATATGTAGAAAATGATAATTCCGGAATAGAGTTTTTGTGTGAAATATCAACTATTTCTTTAAAAAGTGAACCTCATGAACTTGCAAAAGAAATCGCTACAATCGTAGGATCTGCTGACGGATACTATTACATGTAACTCTAATTTGCTATAATAATATATGTGATATACGTATTTGGGTATCGCCAAAAAAACCTGTAACAGATTTATAAATTTATATATTCAATTATAGTTTTTTTGGCAATACGTATATATTTAATGTTTAATATTATTTAATGTTTAATATTATTTACTCATAATGTTACTTAACCTTTTAGCTATCACAAAGTTTATAGATCTGAAAAAGATCATCACAAATATGCATTTGTATACAATTGCTCACAAAGTTGTTCTTTAGCTAAGCGTCCACGAAAACATGAAGATCTTAACAAACAGCGTGATAGAGGATATATTGAACGGTTTTCCTGTAATGGTGTTTTAAAAATATTACTTAACATGGAAATGAACACAGCAGCAGTTGATCTTCAGCATAATTTACTTCATAAACGTCCAGATCGATTTAATGTGTCCGATATTATTAAAGCTGAAATCAAAAAAAATCTTCATCTTATGCCTGCGGACATTTTTAGACAGTTGGAACATCAAAATCAAGATCTAACCCAAAAACAAGTTCATGCATGGTGGTCCTACTTTTTAAAACAAGAATATATTCGTGATTATAACAATCAGTTAAATTCTACGAAGATTCTTATAGAACAAAATCAATTCAAGATAGTTTTAATTAATAATCAGGACATTCGATACTTGGGCTTTATAACACCATTATTCGAATTATTAAAAAATAATCGTGAAATTGCTGTAGATGCTACATATAAAACGAACATCTTAGGATATGAGCTATATGCAATCATTGGTCAATATGATGGGGCTGGCTTTGCACTTGCTTATTTGTTTATCGAGGGTGCTAAAAAAATTGATGGTGCACGAACAAGTATTTTAACTTTATTTTTCGAATCTTTATTTAAGTTGGGATTAAATAATGTTTATTTTTTTTTGACTGATAAAGACTTCGCACAAGTTTCGGCTGCTCAGAAAGTTTGGCCAAATGCCAAAATTCAAATTTGTTTTTGGCATCTTAAGAAAGCAATTAAAAAACGTCTTACTGATAATACATATCCAAAAGTTATTAATTATAGTTCATATTCAGCACACCAGGTATTTGAGTTTATTGATATCGAATTTTATCCAACACCACCATCTCAAATGACCCCAGTGCAAAAAAAAAGCTTTTGCTTTTGCCCAAAAGAACTACGACCTAAAATTCTAGACATGATAGTACAACATATGCATTTTCACTCTTTAATTCCAAATACAAGTGGAGTTTATTTAACGGCATATGAAATTTGGAAACAGTCAACGAAACAAGTTTATGAATTTTGCACATATCATGATTTAAAACTTTTGTGGATTTATTTATGGGAACATTGGTATCGTGAAGAACTTTGGGTTCTATGGTCAC